AACTCATACGTAGATGTATTCAAAGTAACTAAATATTAATTACGTTGATAAAAAAATGTTACTGAAATTTCAAGCTGTTAAATAATAACCATATACGTGTTACAATACGCTTGTTACAATACCGATACAGAAAAGCATTAACGAATCATAGACTAATTTAGCCAGTATCATTATTACTTAGTTGTAACAAAAAATGGCAATTTATAAACACAATTAATTTAATAATGTTTTTATTATTAAAGCATTATTATTACGTATAAGTGGTATTAGTATCGTGAAATAAAAGTTTCTATTACTTAAAAATAAATTAACAATAAGTATACAATACTGGTGGTATTTGACAATTTATGATCATGATTGGTAGGGAGTCATCGGCTGAGTTTTAATTTTATGTTTATATGAACGATACAATAATGTAATTATTAAATAATTATGATGTAATAAAAACAAATTTGTGTAACAAATTGCGCAATTAATATATTCTCTAGAAACTATCACTATTACAGTATTTCTTTATCTTTATTATGTCGTCCCAACTTTTTTTAAAAGAAGGTGACAAAGTTTTCGTGCCTTTTGGACGTGCTGTTGAAAAATATCTTAACGAATTTGATCATTTAAAAAAGACACGTTTGAAAAAGCAAAGCCGTAAAAATGTTAGCCGAGCTGTAAAAGAAGGGTTAATAACAGTGCGTAGAGTAGAAGGAGCAATAGATTATATTGGATGGATGACTAAAGATGGACACTTAAAATCAACAAACCGTTTAGATGATATTCTTGAATTGACTAAGAAAGGCAATGAACGTATTTCTAATATTCAAAATGGAAATGCACGTGATATTTGTGTATGGTATTGGACTCTCTTTTGTGCTGGTGATGGTAACTGTCAAAGAGAGTGTGGCGGATTAGGAGAATGTAAAGAGAATTGTTCAAATTTTAAACTTAAAAACAATGTTTCTAATGAATTTGATATGCATAAATGTTCAGTTCGTGTAATTACAAAGATTATGTTATCACAAATTAAAACTGAATTTCCAATGCAAGTTATTCTCTCGGGCTCTCACATATCTAGTATTCCAATTCCACACATTTCAACTATAAATCGAATTAATTTAAACTATGAGGCACGTGATATTGCTATTCGTGGACGACGTGAAAGTAATATGACAACAACGCAAATTATGCGTAACTTGCTTGCCTCCACTAATAATGCACCTAAAAATGAATTAAAGGAAATATTGGATAACAAAAAATTCGCATGTAATGAAACAAAAATTCGTCATTTGTTAGAACGTGATACTTGTCGCCTTAGAGATGACATTGGTCCATGGACTCGACTTCATTAACTTGTAACTAATGAGTTAAAAAATAAGGGGGTTGTTTTATATTATCAACAACCAGATCCTGAAACGCAGGAAAATGATTATAAGCATTATTATCAGCTTACCTTAAGTGATGAAATATGGTTGCAGCAGGCTCGAGATTGTGGTTCATTTTGCTTTGGTATAGATGGAAAGTATGATTTAAATAATGACCGTGCACCAATTCTAGTTCTTACAGTTGAGAATCAAGCTGGTTATGGTTCACCAATAGCAATTAGACTTTCAAATAAAGAAAATAAATTTACAATTCGTATTGCTGTTGAAGCTGTTCAAAAAAATATACCATGTATTCAATTAGAATGCCCACATTCTTTTTATTATGTTAATTTGCCTAATAGTAAAGGATTTCAACGTATTCGACAATGTAATTCTAATTGGAATCCATATGCAATGATAGATAAGCACCGACCTTCAAAAGCTGCTTTAGAACCAATACTTCAAGGTGTAATTTTGTGTTGGTTTCATATAATGAAAACATTTGGAGAACATTTGCAAAATTTAAAAGTAGAGCAATCATTACGATATCCAATTGCCATTGCATTTAAAATTATAGGGCGGAGTCGAAGCAAAAATGAAGCACTTGAATTGGCAAAAATGTATAATGAATTTATTTTAATGTTACCATTGGAAGATCATATAAAAGAATGTCTTCAAAAAGATTTGGCATTAAACTGGATATGTGATGAATGGTGTATGAGCTTTATTGATGGTGGACGCCTTCCTTATGAATCTGATAATCCATGTTCAAAACCTTTAACTACCAATAATTTTACTGAACGAATGAATAAATCATTAGAAAGTCAATGCGGCAATACAAAAACAGTAGCAGATTTTGTTGAAAATCTTTATGGCATTCAAAAAATACGTTCTACACTATCTGAAGAGAATTCAGGTCAATTAAATTTTCATACTGGTCTTGTAACATATTGGAATGCTCGTACACTAGATCATGAAAATGAAGAGTATCACTTTGCAATTGACAAGAAACGACGATTAAATCAGGGGAGATATTATGTACTTTGTGGATGGATTAAAAATATTGAAAATTCTAATTATTTTTATATTAAGAAAGGAAATAACTCATTTCGTTCACCATATAATTTAGCACCAATAAAAATTAATCATGAAATTCAATTAGAAATTGATAAAATGGTTGGAAAACTTGCTTCAAAGCATAATATAGAAATTCCATCACAATATTATTTAGTTAATATTCAATCAGGAGAGTGTACGTGCTTAGATTTTATTTGGAATAGTTCGTTTCGTGATGTCTGTAAGCATTGTCATGCCGCTCATCTCTTTCGATCAATTCAAGAAAAAACTGAAAGTTTAGCAACAATAAAATCAAATTTTATTCAATACTTTCGGAATAAAGAAAAAGCACTTCCAGCAAATGCAAAAAATTATATTATTTATAGTGGAGTAGAAGATGAAGCATTTCAAGAAATTGTTAGCCTTTATAATGAAGTAGGAGATGCTATTTTTTATCCATATAAGCGGCAATTAGCAGAAAAAGATCCTTTTAGACCACTTGAATTATCTGAGCGCAATACTATGACATATGGATCTCCCAAAATACATGGAGCAAAAAAACGCAACCCAAGTCGTTTTGTAACTGATATAACCAATAATATTATAAATGAAAATCTGGTAATTATATAGTACAAATTACTCTTGTTATAGTGAAGTAGTTAGGCTGAGAATACTATATAAATATTATCATATCGAGTGAAGAGTTAATAATAATGGCAATGAATTTAAAAAAAATTCTTCACTATATCAAAATTTTCACTATATCGAGAGTTCACTATAACGAGAGTTAATTTTTTATTTTAAATATAACTAATTAATAAATTTTTAAATTATAAAGAAAGTTAACTCTACAAGTGGGCTTTCAACAATATCAGCACCAATAGTCGATACTGCATTACTCTCTAAAACATATTCAACATCAACACCAATAATCGATCCTACGTTGCTCTCTGAAGCTTATCCGACATTAGAAATACATTTAGAACATTATGAGGAGAATTTTAATAGTTTAAATGAACAGCAAATACAGAAAGAGATTCTACCGCTTCAAGAAAAATATGTACATTCAAATACTTCAAATTCTCAAACTATTCAAGCAACACTTCCTCATTCTATTCAACGTAGAAATACTACAAGAATTCGTAATCTAAAACGTGGTACACAAGAGGTATGAAAATATTAATGTTTAGATACATAAATTGTATCTTTTAACTAATAATAATTTTTTAATAAGAATATAGAAAATATCAATTTAGTGAATTTGCCTCAAAAACGTAAGCATGTAAATGATACTCAAGAAACATTAGAGGCAATATTTCTTGAGCAAGGCATAACTTGGAAACCACGTGCATTTACTAATTTCTGTATTAGCAAGAATATTCATTTAGCTGATGATCCTGTAGTAAATGATAGGCTAATTTATAGTTGGATTAGTAGACGTAAATATAAAGCAAAGCGAGAAAAAAAAGAACAAGAAGAAGAATTAGATAAACAAATATAATACATCAATTATGGTTATATTATAGTTATAATAAAGAGCTGATATAAAGTTGCATTTTACTTATTCACACATCTTTAATTAATAATCTTTTGCTTACTCTAGTGCTAAAAAATCAATTCAATTAAATTTATTCCTATATAGCTCCAATACGATCAATTAATAAAAATTGTACCCAATTAATGATGAAATATTGTGCTTTGCAAAAAAGATGTAAATCTGCTGTTATGAGAAAAACGGAGATTCTTTATATAAACAATTAAAAATTTCAAAGATTATAAAAATTACGATTAATTGACAATATGTAGGTTCGGTACATTAGACTCTAATTGCAACACTATTTTTTATTACTAAGATATATTCGATATGAAAATGCGATTTTCTTTTCGAAGTATGCATTTATTCTTTTCTGGAATTGCAAAGATTAAAA